TACAGTAATCAGGACACTTGATAGCCTATGCTATCCTGTCCTCTTATTAGAATATATATTTTTTTGGTTTAAGGAAAGAAATAAAAATGATTTAGTAATTACATTAGAAATGGAAAATCAAATTTGGCACAAAAGAAATGCACTATATATTGGTATTAAAATAAGACATTGAGTATTAGTAGAGACATTTAACTCTAATTTAAAGTAGAGTTACCATGTGTAAAATGGATTTACATCAGTCATGCATACATTGGTCATGAGGAGGAAAAGAATTAAAGTATCTAAAACTCACAACTTTGCCTGCCAGAAAAGTAAACATTCAGTGAAGATTAGATAGAAATGGGAGCTTGAGATCCTAAAAGAAATGGATTTTAAAAATCTCTTTTAGTAATCTGGTTTAGCAATAATGTTATCCTACCCAGCACGAGAATTTACTTGGTACAATCTGATATTCAACTCTGGCATGCAGATTTTAGTCTCTGGAACAGGAGATAAAATGTTATTAGTGAACAGCTAGAATCTTTTAAATGTAGTTCTGGCTAATAAGAGGAAAAGATAATATTAAGGACCTGAATAGCAACATTATGACAATTTTTATATATAAATGAATAAGTTAAATATGCAAAAGGCCATGAAACTCTAATGATGCTAAAAATTAGAAAGTTTATTATGTGTTTGGATATGTCTATGTGTAAACTCCATGCAAAAGGAAGATTATTCAAATGGGATATATTTAAATTTTGTTATCTTCAATAAATATATTGTTAGTGTATAGATAACTTTATTCTTCAATTAATGTGTGCCTACTATAAAATATAGTTTAGTACTTTTTTCTATGAATGTAAATTCGGGCAGACTTGTTATATGTTTATTTAATTGTCCCATAAGTTTTAAGAACACATCATTTCTAGCAAAGGTAAGGGCTATGTAAAACTAAATATTGATAAAGAATCGCTGATCTAACAAAAATAAAATACAATTACAAAAAAGATCTGGTCTGTTAAACAGGTTTTACATTTAAAAGGGACAGTAAAAATTTGGCTCCTTGGTGATTCAGAAAATAACCTTGGGTTTGGTAAAATGGTCCTTCTATTTGATTTTAAGTCACAATAGCACCAGCAGAGTATAGAAAAACCCCAGAATTACTATGTAAGATAAAACAACTTGTAAAAGACAACAAATATTTATCTAATAAGATTATTGTTAACTGAGGAAATTATACAATATGCCTAAAGAATTAGTAAAAGATAGAGTTTAATTATAAGCAATAATAAAATGTTTTAAAATCATTTAGAGAATTTATAAACTTTGTCTCACTTTAAGACTCTTAGAACATTTGCGTATCTACTGGACTTTAGAAGTTTTGGATCAGCCAGTAGCATGGAGTTTAAAGTGGCTGGATCCCACATAATCAATGATATGTTCAAACACAGAACTCAGGGGCCTGAGAAACACACCAGACACATGTGTGCCTGTCAAAATTCCAAAAGAAGGGAGACATGGAGGAGAAGGGATTGCAGTGTGACAGTTTTCATGATGGGTGCTTTCTCATTTTCCTTTTCTTCCTCTCTTTCTCTTTCCACTTATGAGCCCTTCAGCAAATTTAAAATAATAATAATAATAATAATAATAAATATTGGGGCCTGGTGGTTGAGACACTGGACTTCACATGGCCAACCACGGTTTGAACCCCAGATCTGGCAGCTTCCTTTCTTTCTTTCTCTTTTTCTCTTTCTGGTCAACTCAAATAATAGATAGAAATAAATAAGCAATTCTTTAGAAAAAGGTTAATAAATATTTAACAAATTTGACTTTACACGTTTCAATAATTATCTATAATTAGTAAATAAGTATTGAAATATTAGTTGTATAACAAATATTTCAATTTTTAGATAGTGGCTGATGTATATAAATGATAAATGGTATCAGATTAAAAATGTACAAAAAGTAATGTCCATTTCTCCACTAAATCCCTTCAGATACTGAACTTTCTTTCTTTCTTTTTTTTTTTTTTTTTAAGAGATTTATAGTATAAGGCACATGTGCTCACTAGAGAGATGGAGAGACAGAAGGTGAGAAATCACCCCCAGGACAGATGGCCATACCACAATCCCTTCTCCATTCTCCTCTTGGGCGAACCTGGCATGAGTTTCAAGCCACCAGGTCTAGAACTCAAAATACAGTCAACCCTAGGGGAGGGAGTCCAGTGCCTTAACCAATACAAGTTTCTGCTGGTCTAGAAACTAAACATTCTATTAGTAATAAATAATGAGTTTATACTCTATCCATCTATGATCCTGAACATAAATTCATGATGTAAAAAATGTTGCCACCATGTTCTTAAATCTCACTTTACCTTTGTATCCTTTCAGTTTCTGTTAAAGGTCCCTTTTCTTGGGGCCAGCAGTTGGTGTAATGGCTATGTTGCTGGACTCCCATGTAGTTAACTGTGCTTTGAGTCCCAGACCTGGTGGCTTAAACTCATGCTGGGTACAGGTGCATGAGTACCCAAGATCCCAAGAGGAGAATGGAGAAGGGATTGTGGTATGGCCATACCCCCTGGGAGGTGATTTCCCACTTTCTCTTTCTGTCTTTCTGGCGACTGCAAATGCCCCATAGCTAAAACCTCTCCAAAAAAAAAAAATCCCTTTTCTTTTTTCCCACAACTTCCTACCTCATTTTCTACCCCTGATTTCTGAACTACCCTGATTCTTAGTGTTTATATGTACCCATGTTCCCACCTGAATTTAATAAAAAGGCTATTAATTCCTTTCTCTCTATCACCCATATTTGCATTTCCCTGCCCAAAGATTACCATAATAAAAGAGAGAGTTAAACATTACCACAATAAAAGAGTTAAAGGATTTAATTTGCTTAATACCATACTATAAGCATATTAGCTTCTAGGTGGGTAAGTGATTTTGATGCAGAAGTGGAATTCCCTACATATCTGCTCCAGGTAAGAACCTCAAGGTTTTATCTGCATAGTTAACTTAGATCCTGAGTTAAAGGAAGGTGAAGAGGAGCAGGGTCATCAGATGCTACCAATGAATCCATATGTGTGTCTATCCATAATGTTTAATTTAAAAATAAGCAACTGTGGGTCTAAGCCAAGTTGAAGGAGCTTCATGCTAAAAAGTCACATAAATAACTTAGTGCTACCCATGCCAGGCCATTGAAGTATAAATGCTTATGACAAAGGGCTCACTCTACATGTGTCTATTTGATGACTATGACTGACTGGTCTTTATGGGAAGCCCAGGGAGGCACAGTCACATGGACACCTGGGATAAATAAATTTTGGCTCTGAAGCATAAAAAATATATAGTAAAATAAAAAGCATATTTGCTACCACTATGGGGAAATCCACTGATAAATAAGCTATTGCTGGTTGGTACACTTATGTCAGATATTATAGACCAAAAAAGGAGCTTACAAGTCATTATTATTTGCCCATAATGTTCTATGGATTTGCTGTTATCTGTCTTGAGAAGACAGCTCTACTGAATAGAGAAGTAATTAGAAGGGTCATTTGATTTAATAAGTAACTTTGTTAATGTGTATATTAAAGTGTATTAGAGGGACCAGTAGTTAGCGTAATGGCTATGTCGCTGAACTCCATGTAGTCAACCGTGGTTCATGTCCCAGACCCGGTGGCTTAAACTCATGCCGGGCACGTGTGCATGCATGCCCTAGATCCTGAGAGGAGAGTGAAGGAGAAGGGATTGTGGTGTGGCCATTCCTCCTGGGGGGTGATTTCTCTCTATCTCTCTGTCTCTCTCTGTCTTTCTGGCATGCACACATGCCCTATAGCAAAAACCTCTCCAAAGGAAAAAAAAAAGTATTAGATTCTGTGATATATCACATACTAATTTTTTAAGGGAGTGTAGTTAAGCTCCTATGTTGGTATCTTGGGAATACGTAAATATATAACTGTGTAAATCCCTTAGCCTAATCTACTTTAAAAGATAATATTGAGGTTTTACTAGGATCTAATCCAGTGTTCTCCAAACTGTATCCATTATGCACCCTTTATTCTTTTCTGTTTCCCTTAATATTTCTATAATAGGGTATCTAAAAGGGATTCATTAGTAATGATACATAAGGAATGTTATATAAAGAAAAATCAATGATTACATCTACAGAGTGTGATTTTAACTTAAACATTTTATGAAAACTTGTACAGCCAATACAGTCATATATGAATTATCAATACAAAGATTCCTGGCCTTAGTCTCTCTTTTATAGAGATTATAACCTCACAAATTTAAATCCAAATAGGATTGCTCACTAAAGACTAGTATTAAATGTTTTACCTCATAGCCTATCCATAATTTGATATAAAAAGGAAAGAATAAAGGATGAATAATGGATACAGTTTGGAGAATACTGGGCTAGGTACGAGTAAAATCTAAATAAGACTGGTATAAGAGAAATAATTTTAAGAATTTTTAAGAAATCAATTCATTTAGTTAATCAGATATATTATCTACTTCAGAAAATGTTTCTATTCATTCATATGTATATGTTTATTTGTGCACACACATATGGTATCTTTGTTCAGCACAAAAATTGGGACACCTAGGAGCTGTAATTAGAATCTGAAATATTAGCATTTTTTGATTACCTGACAATAAGTAGGATTTTAAGAATATGCTATCCTATAGATAGCAAACAGTGACTATAAAAGACAGCAGAAGAATTAGAGAAGTGGAAATTTAAAAATATAAACAGAAAATCAGATCTTAAAATGTTATTTGAATTGTAAATCTTCTGGATAAGATTTAACATTGGTTTATAGGTTTATTTTAAAGACAGCAAATATTTCATGGAATTTAAAAATATCCCAGAAAGAAATACATCGTTTGCATACTTATCTTTACAGTGCTTTTACCACTGTTGTAAAATTTGAGGTCTTAAACTTTTGTCTAACTAAAGTTTCAAAATACAAATATACATATAATATACATATACAAGGGAAATTCATATATTTTACTCACAGGCAAACTGAAGTGTAGCTTCTCTACTAAGAATACTTCCAAAAGTGTTGGTTGCTAAACATTGATAATGGCCAGAATCCTTTGCTTCGCTTGGGTTGCTTATAATGAAAGTGCCGTCTATCAAACTGTAGCGATAATCACTTTCCAGATCTATTTCTGTTCCATTTCGAAGCCATCTTAGGAAAAATCAGGAGACAAATAAATGTAAAAATTACTTGAGGCATTATAATACTCCCTGAGGGTGTCAGAATTGATGGGAATTTTTTTAGGCTTAAGAAAAATGATGAATAGTGACAGTCTACCTGTAAGTGGGAGCTGGGTTGCTAAGAACTTCACAATTCAGTGCTATCTTCTTTTCATCAGAATCAGTTGGAAAAATGATATCATCTGGTTCTTGTACAAACACTGGCCCATAGTCCACACTTTCTGTAAGAACCAAAACAGATACACCTTAAAAACTCTTCAAAATAGCAAGATACTCTTATTCCCCAACATAAATTCAAAACTTGTGTTCTTTCCTTGCAATAAACAGAAAAAATTTCCAAGAGAAAGTATAGCTAGAAAATTACACTGTTTTAGTAAGTTATAGAAACCCAAGCACATTGTTTAATTGCAAAAAAAAAAAATCTATAAAAGTGTGATACATGCAATGGAAAGACAAACTTTTCAAAGACTGATGTGTATTTCTAAATACATATCTTTGTTTTAATCTTCTAAAACAGACCTATGGAAAATAATATTAAATACAAATATTATTTTTAAAAGCCTGTCTATAAAACTCTTAGAATGTTAAAAATAACAATACAATAAAGAAAATTGACAAATTAATAGCTTGTCTCTTGGGAGCTACACATAGGAAAGTGCTGGTCCTGCTGCATTCTTCATTTATTCCTTCAAACACATGAAGGGACTTCAAAAAGTTCTTAGAGGGACCAGCAGTTAGCGTAATGGCTATGTTGCTGGTCTCCCATGTAGTCGACTGCAGTTCGTGTCCCGGATCCGGTGCCTTAAAACACGCCAGGCACATGTGCGTGCGTGCCCAAGATCCCAAGAGGAGGATGGAGGAGAAGGGATTGCGGCGTGGCCATCCCCCCTGGGGGTGATTTCTCGCTTTTTATCTCTCTGTCTCTCTCTATCTGTCTGGCGAGCGCACACGCCCTATAACAAGAAAACCTCTCCAAAAAAGAAAAAAACAGTTCTTAGAAAAATGGAATCACAGTATTGTGATGCAATTTTTTTTTTAAATACCATGCATGAACTTTTTAATTTTTTATTAACTTTTGAAGACTAATAATGTTGGAGTGTATGGAAGAAATTATATAAACCATATAAGTTCAATATATTCTTAGACAATAAATGATACATGTCCTCAAAAAAGTAAATTAATCAAAATGTCAAAACTACATAAAACTGAATCTTCAATCAATACATAAGTATAGTAAATAAAAAGATCAGAATATAAAAAGGCAAAATAAATAAGTCAAATAGAAAAAACACTTAAAACACGTTTTCTAATATATGCCAGTTTCTACATTCTATTTCTTTCATTTAGCTAATATTTAGAGAAATCCTATGATAAAAGTGGTTTAAAGCTAAGAAAAATTTTATGGGAAAAAATGGGAATAAAATTACTCCTTAAGGGCCAGCAAACAGTCGATGGACTTCCATGTGGCCAAATGCAAGTGTTGGACCCAGTAGCTTGAAAATCATGCCCGGTATGTGTGCCTGAGTGCAAAGATCCAAGGAGGAGAATGGAGGAGAAGGGACTGTAGTGTGGCCATCCCCGCTGGGGGGCAATTTCTTGTTTTCCCCCTCACTCTCTGTTTCTCTCTCTCTGCAGTGAATGCATGAATCTTATGACAAAAACTTCTTTTAAAAAAAAAAAAACTCCTTAAACATCAGCCTTGATATGACTTGTAGAATAAGTCTGCTGAGGGGATCAGAAGGTGGTAAGGTGCTGAAGGAGAAGGGATTGTAGTGGCCATCCCCCTGGAGGTGATTTCTCACTTTTCCTCTGACTTTCTCTCTCTCTCCAGTGAGCACACATGCCCTATGGCAAAACCTAAAAATAAAAAGTCTGCTGGAGAAAGGATGAGTATATATGCTGGTGGGAAGAGAAGTAATCATGTTGATGTGCAGTTATGTAAGAATTTAGAACATCATGTGCATGTAGAATCAATCAATAGCACTCCAAACTATGAATTTGAAAAAAGTCTAACTTTTCACTTTATTTTTAATAATCATAAGTGTGATTTCATGGTAGGTTTGGATTAAGGTTTTTCAACCTCAACATAATTGGTATTTTAGAACAAATACTCTGCTGGGACATGCTGCCCTGAATCTTCTAAGATGCTGACCAGCATTCCTAGCCTCTATCCGGTAGATTCTAGTAGCATGGCTCACCAGTGTGCAATAATCAAAAATGTATCCAAGGGGTGGCTGGTTTGGTGGCACAGCAGTAATCACTGTTCAAGACCAAACAGGACTCACATGGTTACTACCATTGTTCAAATCCCCAGTCTGGTCAACCTGAAACTCTCTGGGCTAACATGCAAGAGCCCAGGATCCATGGCAGTAGAAAACTGGAAAAAGAGAACCAGGACATGGCCAGTGCTGTGGAGGGTTCTTCTCTGTCTCTCATACACACACACTCTCTCACACATACACATGCTCTGTCATGAAGAAATGTATCCAGACATTGTTAAATGTATGATGGGGTCAAAATCACCATCATTTAAAACCATTGCCTTACATAAATGAAGAGGACAATTGCAGGAAAGATATATTTCTAGTATTTCTGGTGAATGGTTAGAGATTTACATACTCAATGAATAAACACAGACAATACCAGAGCACAGAAGTACAAATATAAATGCCCAGGACATTTGAGCTTAATTAAAAAAACAAAAACAAAAACCGAGAAAATGCATACTCCCTATTTAGAAGAATGGGTTCTCAGTAAATTGATTTGCTTTCTTTATATATACTTAAGTCTCATTTATTGAGAAAAACAAAATAAAAGTGTTCACAGTATTCCAAACATTCACTAAATACAAATTGAGTGCTCAAAATAGGGGTACAGTGACAAGAATTTTCTTTTGAGTCCTAGACAACCTAGCTTAAGTTTCTTAAGCTGCAACAAAATAGTACATCGAAGCAACCAAAATATATTTATTTATACCAAATAATATTGCTGCAACTTAACACTTGTATTTAAGGAAAGGAAAATAAATAAAGTACTAGAGGAACTTGTGGTGAAAATTTTTATGTGTCATTACATCACAGTGAATTTACAAAAGTTTAGAGATTCTTATGAAAAAGATTTTGTGTTTTTCTAAATTCTTATAAATTCACTATAATGTAACAACAAATAAAAAATTTTCAACATCAGTTCTTCATATAAAATCTTATCTTACTGGGCCAGCAGGTTGTGTGGTGATTAAGGTATGGGAATCCCACATGACCAACCACAGTTTGAGTTTTAGATCAAGTGACTTGAAAATCACAATAAATAAATGCATACATACATACACACATTAATATTAAAAGAAAAATGTATAAAACTCAGAATTAAAGTGCAGGATTGAATTGTGAAAAATAATCATTTTTTATTTTTAAATAAATATAGTTATTTAAATTAACACTATAAATATCTATGCTGTATAAAACTAATGTGTAATAAACATTTGTTATAGTTTTATATAACTCGAGCTTCAGAGTCAGACATAAATTCCAATGCTAGTACTATAATTTTCTAACCCTGGGCAAATAACTCCTTTGATCCTCTACTGCTAATTTATTAATTATGGATAATAATGCCTTCCAGGACCAGCAGTTGGCATAATGGCTATGTCACTGGACTCCCATGTAATCAACTGAGATTTCAGTCCCAGACCTGGTAGTTTAATGCCAGACACGTGTGCACGTGCGCGCAAGATCCCGAGAGAAAAATGGAGGAGAAGGGATTGCGGCATGGCCATCCTCCTTGGGGATGCCTTTCTCCCTTATCTCTCTGCCTTTCTCTGTCTTTCTGGTGAGTGCATGCACTCTATAGCAAAAACCTCTCAAAAAATTAAAATAATAATGGCTTTTTTGCAGTACTATTATTGTAGTATTAATATTAGAATTTTCAAATACTTCATATACCATATTTACTCTAAATAATAACATTTTCATGTGTTATAATTACTGTATGCTAGGTATTATGCTGAATGATTTTCCTTTTTTTTTTTGAGAGAGAGATTTCTGCTCTAGGATATGTGCACTTGCTCCAGGTACAGAGGGAAAGAAAGCAAGAAATTGCCCCCTGGGTGGATGGCCACACAGCAAACCCTTCTCCTTCATTTTCGTCTCGGGGTTTTGGACATGCACACACATGTGTCCAGTGTGAGTCTCATGCCTCTGGGTGCAGGACTGGAATCATGGTTGGCCATGTGAGCCCAGCACCTTAACTGCTATGCCACCTGCTGACCCCTATGCTGAAAAATTTGTAAGCAAAATATGATGTAACAATTTCACTGGCAAGCATTATTGACTTACTTAGAGATGACAATATGGAGGTGAAAACAGAATTTCTTTACTAATAGTATGATTATTTCTTCTTATCATTATATTTATGCTTTAAAATTTATAAGTATTGTCATGTATATATGTGTTATATACACATATGTGCACATTAATCTCATTCTTGGACTCAGCATTATAATTATTATAATTATTTCTTTTTTATTTTTGGAGAGGTTTTTGCTCTACGGTGCATGTGCTCACCAGAAAGACAGAGAGAGACAGAGAGACAGAAAGCAAGAAATCACCCCCAGGGGAGATGGCCATGCCACAATCCCTTCTCTTCCATTCTCCTCTTGGGATCTTGGGCATGCATGCACATGTGCCCGGTGTGAGCTTGAGCCACCAGGTCCGGGACTCGAACTGCGGTCAACTACATGGGAGTCCAGCAGTCCAGCAACATAGCCATTATGCTAACTGCTGGTCCCAGCATTATAATTATTTCTAATGAAAGACAGCAACGCTGAGCTTCTAAGAAGAGATGTCTGAAAAATTAGTCACATAGAAAATACTTGATTTTAGCTCATTTTCTCTGGTTCTAAATCTTAGCTTCTGAAAACTGTCAAAATAGAACAAGATCATTACAAGTTTACCAGTCTTGGGAAAATTAGAGGGGTAAGAGTTACTAAACTGTGGGCTGTATGGGGGTAATCTGAACAATAGATATTTTATTATGATACATTTGTTGTTTATTGTCAGTTCCCAAAGAAACATAGCCCTGGTCAATGACTCTATTATATTATTTGTTGTTGTTGAATCCAAAGCCAAATGTCTTAAAAGTAAAGTTCACTATAAAGAGTAAAGGATGGGGAACCAGCAGTTAGGGTAATGGCTGTGTCGCTGGACTCCCACGTAGTCGACCG